TGTCATCATATGCCCGCAGAGTGAGGGGTGACTCTACAGGTTGCGACAATGCGAAGCCTGGGTGTATCAACAGTGCTGTTCACTGATGATAATATACCTCACTAACACTGGGAGCGAATTGATGAGATACGAGTGCAGATCAGGAACAAAGCCGCACCCCGGAAATAATTCCTAAAGCGCCTTTACGAAGAAATAGTTGTTACTCTAAGTACAGTATGGATAAAATGGTTTCATTTACGCTGACCCCTTGCTTTGAGTTGAAACCCTAGATTGAGGTACAGTACTGTACAAATGTGATAATTATTCAAGCTATGAAGGTACCAGCGATTTGTACCTGCAGTAGCTCACCATGCTACTGCCTAGTGAAGTGGCTGCCTAACAAGTGGCTGCCACTTCTACAGACCGATATACACCACATGACCTAAGATACAACTCAAAGCGAGGGGTCAGCGTAAATGAAACCCATTTATCCATCCATCCAACTGTATACCTCATGAGTAGTTCCCCCACTATAATACGTATAAAGGGAGGTTCTCTTTGGGGTGGATACAAAGCGGAAGTCATCCTTCTCTAACGTTCTGGATCTAGCAAAATGTCTATCGAATTGAAGCAAGAAGTTCGGACGTTAACCGCGCCTCGTCAAACGGCCGATGCAGTGCAGCATAAATAATGCTTCTCCTACAAATTTCGAGCCAGTTTAGACTGCCTACATGGATATTGCAAGTCCGAACGAACAACTATTATAATGACTCCGTCGCGATTACAAACTCGTATCATGGAGCATCATCAAACAAATTGCCACAGCGACTGACCTAGTAAAAGCTTGAGAACCAAATTGACCCAAAAAAGACTAGTGTGTTTGCTTACAGATGGGAGCATGTACGTTTGAATGGAGTAATTGGTTAATTCTGTCTGAAACAATCAACAATCGCGCAAACAGGAAAACCGTTAAGATGGAAAGGGGCTGCTCTAGAGTTGGAAAGGTGCTCTGAAAGTGCTTTAGTCTCAGGCCCCTTTAATTGTACCCTGATGTCTGGGATATTAATTGAGAATTCAAATGAGCATATTGCATATGATGCAGCCGGGAGCTGTACAACAAAACGGTGTTATTACTTTCTACCTTGTGACCAGTATCATATTTAGTATATTAAATATACTTAATATCCAATAGATACTTAGCCTAATTTTGAATATCTAATGTTCTCCTCTATTCCACCCAAATACCATGTCTCCAAGAAGGAAAGTATCTTTAATCATACCAAGTGGTAGTCTTTCTTTCATTATTCGGAGCGGTTTCCGAATAACTTTAAACAAAGGACCATCATCAAAAATGAAATACTTCAGCTTCTGAGCCATTCCAATTTGCAACATTTGTGACAGGTACTGTTCCTGGCCGACAAGGATCCACTCTGTGGAACCTCTGCTTAAGGTGATATAGAGCAGTTGGATATTGGGAAATTTCAGTACTGTTTGGATAGCATGCACCTAAGGAGCGATCAGCAAAGTCTGAAAAGGGGTTTATCATAAACAGTTTCTTACTGAAATAGCTTCAAATATTCCAAATCGCAATTCCTCCATTTTAGGAAAGTGTTTCGAAAGTTGATTCAGCGATGCATCGTCCAATAGGTGATTGACAAGTGCTCCCTTTGGATCGATTGAGAGGACTTTGAGCGTCGCCGAATGTAGTTTCACTAAAGCATCTAGGAGAAGATCTAGACTCTCTGGCACACATGCAGTATTCGGTGATGTGATACTGAAGGCTTCTAAACCACTAAATGATTGTATGAAGCCCTCTAGCCCATTTATGACGAGGTTTGTAGATAATGTTTTTGGTCGAAGCTCAGCGGCAACTGAAGTATCCCAGAATGATGAAAAATCGAGAGAATCGACATTCAAACTGGTATTCAAGGACAAAGTTTTCAAATCAACCGGCGAAAGCAGGCTCCAGATCGCACATGACGGCCGTCCCAAGTCCACAAATCCCCTGAGGTCTAGAGATGTTAGCTTGAATGGTACTTGGCCACACCAAGAGCTAGAGACTTGACTGAAACGTAGCATGTAATCTCCATCAGCCCACATGGTCAATTCTCTCAGGCGAGTGGCAGTTCGAAGAACCGACCCTATGGATCGCAGGACCGACTCATCGTCGATCTGGATGAGGACCAATACCCTGACATTGATCGGAGGCCAAAACTTTATCGGTGGGTGGAAGTAAGGTGAGGGCGTGCTGTCAGTACCTAGCCGCAGCTGCAAGCTCTGGAGCGTCGACGTGAAAATCAGGATGGTGACGAGATGTTGAGTCGGGGAAACTGCTAGGTCCCAGCTGTTCAATATAGTTAGTAGTATTCACGCTGTAGGATAATTATGGATCGTGCGATGGGTACAAAATTATAATGAAGGGTCTTGTACATAAATTCCTTTATATTCGTCATTCGTATAACGCATGAAGCGATGATATTGCTTAACATTCTCGCGGCTGGTGAAAGTAGACTTTGGGAGCCCAGATTCGAGTCGATCTCATGGTAGATATCGTACCAGGACCCTGTGACTAATACCCGCTGAGTATACTGAAGGTTGGTACAGCGTGGATCTCCGAAGGTATCCAGTTTCAGCTGAAGTCGGTCATTTCCCCCAAAGCATCCTGGGCTATGAAACTGGATAGTGTCATATAGATGTGGGATGACTAAATTTTTCCATTCACGGCACGTCCGAGCCAGTACGGTAAGGTCATTAAGGTCCAGCTATTGGTATGGTCAGCCCTGCAAAGTAACATCCTAAGGTCAAACGTGGAGAGCTGACATAGTCTCTGAGAAGCTCGAAGAATAGAGGGAGATTGTGCAGTATCTCCGCCATCATGGTGGTATCCCGAGGCAGATGAGGTACGTTATGTAACTAATCGAATAACGCCTACAGCTCCTGACCGGCAACAAAATCCTTTATATAGGAAGGGGGTTCTTTAATCCTGAAATATAGTTCCATTACCTCATCAAAATCTCGTTGGGTGGAATCATGATTAATTGATGAAGAAGCTGGGAAAACTAAAATTCAATCCAGACAGACCATGAGCTTGAATTTTATAAAGGCTCCATGGCTGATGAGCCACCCCGAGACGCTGAGAACATCGGATGCGAACAATACGTAGCCTAGGTTAGAAAGTGTTTTATCATAATTTGCATTATCCCGCGAAAGTTAGGGACATTCACAAGAGGCTTCAACTGGTTGAGATATGCAGACAAATGATAGCCATTTGTGTGCTTAGCAGATCCAGGTAGCACATGTGGATCACTCTCGGATTGGTTGGGGCCAGATCCGAACCTATCAGTCAAGGTTGACGGTACCAGTTAGGTGCGGACCCCGGATTTAGGCTCTATCACACAACGGATGAAAAGACGCCGGTATTACATATCCACATCTTGGTGGCACATTTTTAACGATGAGAATTGAAAGAAATGACGTAGTCGGGCTTGGCGGGGTCAATGTAGCTTCTTCCAAGATCAGCAGCAGGTTAAGCGTTCCTGTTCAGATATTTTCAGCAGAAAAAGGAAACACGTTGCATTGAAATAACCGAGAACAATCTCAAAGCACGGGCTTCAGTAGCGCTGAAGTATTTTGCTCTGAAATAGAGGAAATCATTTGATGCTCGACTGTGCCTCAAGCAAATGACACTGATTTTACCTGCCCAGCCGGCTACAACTATCTAATAGCTTCTTTAGTTCGGGATTTTAAGAATCAATTCAAACTGATACTTCCCCGTAGATAGCTGAATGCTTCGCATGCTCCCCAGCCCAATTGGCCATAGCTTAGCTTCGCTGCCGCTGGCATAGTGCTACTTTCCGAACGCGGCGTACTTCCAGCTTATTGTGCAGACAGAAGAGCCATGCCCTTCGAAAGCCGCCCAGGCAGATATTTACTTTCACATAGGGACAAACTATGAGGTAAACTGTAGAGAGGCTAGCCGGAAATGTACCTTCTGTTAGTACTCAGAGCCGTAGCATTGTGACTAACGAACTGCAGGAAAAGCCGTTTTCGAGTTATAAATAGCATTTCCTGCCACCAACAATGAGATGGTGTACTATGCTGGCTAGCTAGCAGAGAAGGCCATGTTTAATATGGCAATCGCGCCCGTGTGATCAAGTTCTTAGCATAGGCTATTTAAGAAACATTTAGGATAACCGATCTCAAAGCTCCCTGCCTAAAATTTTATACTCCAATCTTATCCCAAACAGTCCAGAAACTCACGTAACATCCTAAATCTCGGAGGTCAAATTCAATCTCAGTTCGATCGACCGTCATTCACCGAACCTTCAGGTGATACCCTGAGTTTCCATCTGACAGCGAGCTTTCCAGGCCATCCCTTCACATAGATCGGCAAGATCGACATAGTAATCCCAGTCCTCCCACTGTTCTTGTGACTCTGCTGCATCAGCGTCTTTCCGTGCTACCCTGGCTCGACGCTCCCAAGCGGAAGCATATATATTCAGCGCACTGTCGTCCTGATAGGCAGCATTTTCCTGTATGCGAGGACCTTCCCCGAATTCCTGGTGTGCTCCTGAGTTTGATGCCATTGCATTGAAATCACTGGTATAACATTGAGTGAGCGAAATTTGCGCGATCGAAAGATGCGTATCTTTAATAACTTGATGTATTGAGTCAATAAGGTGTAGATAGGTGGATAAGATATGCCAGCCGTCGTAATCTGGTAGTTTAGTAGTAAGTTGAACTAAGAAAATTGCAAGAGGTTTTGAAATACCCACCACCTTTTAATTCCTTAGCCACAGTATACGTACCACGAGGATCTCCGTTTGCATCCAATAATACTGACGCAAAGCAGGTTTTGGCAGGAAAAGCTTTCTGGGACATTGAACGTCACTCAGCCCTGAATTTAAAATAAGTGGTGAAAATAGGACGGAGAGTTCGGCCGCTTATGAAATTCGCGGGCCTGACGTCGGGTTTTGGCGAGGCCTAGTCCCAGCTATTGAATGCGCGGCTAGTTTACCCAACCAATCGCATGACTTTTAATAACCCAAATTCTCTGCAAAACTTCTGCCACATTCTACCAGCCAGCCAATAGCATTTCAAATAGGGCGCTATCAGGACTCTTCAACCACCTACTGTAGATGGCTCATGTGGACTTTCTCATATATTCATCCTGGTCGTAATCTACTGGCATTCATTTCCGACCAATGAAATTTAATGGTCCGTACGTAGCACTCAGAGACCAAGCGTCGTCCGTCATTATCCCATCCATAGATTCATTCTCTTTCAGGAAGACCCAGAGACCCATAAAATCAAAATGATCGCTTGAACCCACCCTACCTATTATAATGCATGATGCAGTCAGTAACCTAGGGAGATAATAAAACTTATTTTTGCAACAGCTACTGTGCGAGAAAATATTGACCATTTCTATTTCCATCAATAATCTCTCCAGAAATGCCCTTGGGGTATGAGATATGCTTGACCTGCGACAGCAAAACATCGCAAGGACCTTTCTGCTGTGATATATGCCGTTATTTCTTGATGCACCCATCTCTATCTATGTCAGCGCCCGACACTGCCAATCGCTTCAGCATCTCTTGCGATCAAGTCTCATCCAATAGCTTGATGAATTTGATATTCCTAAAAGAATCCTCGTCAAATACAATGAGATGGTGCCAGATAGGTCGAGACATCTCATTGCCCACCGATATCTCAAGAGAGCAGCGAAGTATCTTGAAGACTTATGAGCATTCTTTTGATCAAGTTCGACTAATGAAAAGACAAATGCTTCTTTAATTTATTTGGACCATTTAATTTCTCATTGTTGTGGTAAGCGAAGGAATTCCAGGTTTGAAGGCAATAACTGCTAATTAGGCAGCAGTACAGGGATTCCTTTACGACCCATGGGGGCATCATTATCGTGCTGTCCGCAATGTGAAAGATCTTTGCCGATCTAGCGTCTAAGACGGTGGCCGTTCAGGATGGGGCAACTTGAGAAGAGGTCGATCAGACAGCCGCGTGTCAGGGATTGGCCGTGATCAGCTATGCACGTCGAGCGCGGTGGGTGGAGGATTCGGCTGGCTTACGGGACTCCACGGTTTGGTCATCAAAGGCTTACTAAGCGTTAATGTTCTTGTTATTATATGAGGCTGGTGCAGATGAATGGGAAGAATGACAAATTCGATCAGGTCACGCACGATTTTTTCATTACTTGAACGAAGATTCAGGGGTTCTAGGAAATTTCGAGCGGTCGAACGTAGCCCATTGGGGCCACACGGTCGCTCAGCGGACAGGTTGTGTTCCGTGGAGAGAATACGAAAAACTCACTCGCGATGAGCCGCTTGTCGGAGAAGCAAAATTTCATGAGATGTCCATGCGGGCTGCTTGCTCACCACGACCAATTCAGTGAAACATAAGTGGTGTCTTCGAAAGACGTCCAGGTCGGGATTGGCGGCTGTTGCAGTTCAAAAGGAAGATGGATCATTATTCAGAGGGAAAATGAGGCTATATATGCGATAAGATCAAGCTGGTTTCCATCGAAATTTCGATCATTGCGATCGATCATCGACCCTCCATCGAGCCACTGTTTCGTGCATCCATCCTCGAAAGAACGAACAGGCGCGTCGAAAGTGACGGTTTAAAAAAAATTAAATCTTGCATCTCTACAGCCAAATATGATGGTACAAGTGACTGCAGAGCATGAATCTGGGGTTGCGCTTTTTTGAAGGTGATTCGTGATTTGATTGTATAGTCGATGGGTATTCAACAGGTAATCTGATGGAGCTTCACAAGTTCTCGGCAATCGAGCCTTTTCAATCCGCAACATTTGCCGCTTTTGATTGAATTCGCCATAAAAACTGTGGGGCATCTGATCTAAGGACGAGACGATTTCAAAGTATCATGAGCAAGGAAACAAAAGCAGCGAGGAGAGTGCGAAGGAGACTAGGGATGTTAGTCCGTGAAGCGGCTCCCGTGTGGACGGGGGAAGAATCTCTCCGAGGTGCTACCGGGAAGAATACAACCATTTATATCAACAAAAATAGGGTCTGCTAGTAAAGGAGGCGTCTAATGGAATGAATGGTGTTATCTGATCGTTGATTATTGATGGAAAATACTGGATGAGGGCGCTGTTGAATTACCCTTAGGCCAATGTGAGAAACTGAGGTGTTGAAGCCCCTGTATTGGTGATATCGTTCTGTCACCCTGATACGCACTTCTCATGCATTAAGGTTCCTGTATCTACATAACTTGGTAGTAACTCACATAAGACCAAATTTAATACAACTATCTCGCACATGCTACAACATGAGGGAGTGGTCAAATACCACTAGGACCCTTCGGGATAGCCTTATTCATCGTTCACCTAATTTCCCCCCGTATGGTGTCAATAGTACGCTATAATTCGATTGTATAGACCCCGGGATCGCTCAAACTGTCCGAATACCTTCAATGAATCATCTGATTCTATTGGGCATGTTCGGTAATAGTTACATAAGCATGGTAGAGTTGCCTATATTAGAAATATATATTTCCTTCCTCATACACTACAATCTCTATGGTACATGTCCGCTATCTCCTTACCCACAAAGAGTAAAACCAAGTGGGAATCTCAAGGCAAATTGATGTTTCTAGAGGACATAACTGATATACGAGACAGTTTCATAGAATTTCATTCTGAGGTAGCTAACGTCGAAGACTGGTAGAGGGCGAGACCAGAACATGTGTAAATAACTAATAATACAAGATGAATTAGCAATTTATGCACCCAAGGTATAAATTCCTTGGCAAAATTATGTACTCCAGGTTCCTGCAGGTGCGAACCGGAAAGATCCTGAAGGATTGTTGGTCCGGTTCCAGCTCTAAAAGTTGGGTCCTGGAATCCTTATGGTAATAGTCGACTATATAGGGCCCAGCGGGAGGGTGAGGAGCTATAGCAACACGGCCATAGATTGATCAAAGATGCGAAAGACAGCAGCTAAAGCCGACTAGAAGGTTCAAATCTTGGTATCCCAAACAACGGAATAAAACTATAAAGCTAAGTAACTGGACCTTTATCTTGACGGTGCTCTGAGTGTGCTCTCACAGGTCAATAAAGCAAGGCGTGGGAATAAGCTAGAGTGAGTTATGGTTTAAAAATAGCCATAAGATAGGAAAGAGACAAGCACTGAACGTAAACGTGCGAACCAGCGCAGGCAAAGCCCTAGAGCCGTGAAAGCTAAACAAAAGTCGTGGAGAAGCGAAGGCTAAGGCTGATGTGGACTTCACATGTTACCGTATCACGGAGGCAAATAGTAAAAGTAAATACCAGGTCGTTAAGTCAATAAGAGAATTATATAACCGGGGCGAGCCACTCATGGATGGTAACGGATAGAGAAAGTGCGTAATGAAGCCCTAGAACCCAAATGGCTAAGATGGGTGGAGAAGTAGACAAAGTGGCCAGGAGCCAACATAGGTGTCCGGGCCTGCAACATATAGTCTGATCAATGTGTTCAAATACCATCGTGAAGAGCGACGTCGGATACCCCCTGCATAGGCTCAGGATGGTTGAATATGATTCATGCCCAATATTGCATTATTATTCACCAGCAATCTATGCTAACAAATAATATACATCAATATCCTTTCCGTGCCACACTCGGGTATTTGTGACATCGTTGGCTTGTATTTTGAAAGATCAAGACACCGCGCCAGACTAGATTAGGTACTTCTAGACCTAACCAGCAAAAGTGAATATGGATGAGATGACAGTAGGTAACACAACAACCAGTTGGCAGAGGACTGCGGTCTGCCAAACGTGCCGCCAGTACATCCTCCAGTTCGTTGGATACGTAAAATGGTTTGTTACAGGCCTGATTGGTATCAACGGTGTGGTGTTAACACCCACATCGTTCCCCATGTCCAGATACCACACAGTTGTCCATAAATATAGTGCTCCAAACGTACTTTGGTCAGCTTCCCAGCATTCCTCCCACAGTAACCCGGCGTACTCTTGAGGCGAGTCAAACTTTCTATCGCCAAATACTACAGACAGAATGGGCGGTATACAACCGAGCCCATCGAAATTCGGCAGCTTCCAACTGTCCATGGGTGCGAGAATGTTGTAGACCTTTTGGGCAGCATTGTTAAGCCCACTGAGCCCCTTCCTCAAGCCAATCGTATATTATGCTTGATGGGGCTGAAGATGCAGTGTTACATCGTAACATGGGTGCGAGGTTGTTGATCGCAATGTAGAGGTTCTAGCTTGCAGATCACTGCTTAGATTGTTCCGCCACTCAAACAATAGACGCTCCCAATGAAGAAGAGCCATAACCACGTCTCTGCCCACTAAACTTGTGTTCCGCACCAAGTGACCATTGTATCTGATTGTCCGGAAACCATTTTCCGGATGATGGTTTTCAAGGTTGTGGAAATGGGTGCCATCCCCATGTTCTTTGCTGCCACAAGTTTCATTAAGGTGCCTTGCCAAAAAAACAAGATTTTCATCATCCCTGACAATGACATTTCTGATGCGAGAAATGATGAGGTTATTCATTGCATTGCGTCATTCTTTCAGATTGAACTTGGATGTGTCAACTTCCAATTCCTCCATTTTTAAGCGGTAGGTATCGACGGCGTTGTGTTCACTTTCGAGTCTCACCAAATGTTTTACATCGAAGTTTGAACATCTTGAATGTAGGATGTAAATCAAACACTGGTCAATGTGTCCAGATAGTGGTATCCGTATATCATCGAGTCTGGACTTGTGAGGCTTTTCTGCATCGAAGTAATGACGCGGCCCCGCATGGAAAGATACTATCAGTGCGGCAATCTGCGTCGCCGAAGCTGTGTACAATTCGTCAATGAAAGCACCGATGGCTGTGAAGATAATCATAAAATTGACTGCTATTGTAAGTAGGCGAAGAGCTTGAATCGAAATTCGAGCTTCCCCTCGGGTAGGTGAGTACGACCTTGGATTCAGGGCAAACAGGTATGAGTATACTTTATAGCCCGGATCGAGTGAAGATAAGGGTCTTCTATCGTCTCTCCAGCTGGATGAGAAAAAGAAATGGTAGAGTAGGTAACTCAGGGCCCACCATGTAAATGCAGCGATCAAGAACCAGGGCACGAAAACTAGGCGCGCAAAGTATGGCAACACTCGTCGTTTGCGAGGACATGGATTAGCGCAAGCTTCAATGCAAGAATTAGCCGCTGTTTTTTCAGGACAAGGATCTTTACAACGGCGAATGCAAGCATGCACGGTATCTTCGAAAAGCCAGGCCGATAAAAACTCAAATGTGGTCCAGAATACCATAACAACACCCATCGCGACCCAAACCATAAAATCCGATGAATGAAGCCACCGCCAGCTCAGTGCATAACCGTTCTTTTTGATGTGGACCTGGATTATCAAACGAACGACCATCCCAGCCAGTGCAACACTGAGATGGAGAGATTTTTCAAAATCGGCATCACTTGTCGAGCTCCGGACGCCATTTTGACCGAGAGAGGACGCAAAGGTAAGCGGGATTGTGGTGTTTGTGCTTATAGAAGAATTGGCACTTCGCAAGCGCTCCCAGAAGTGTTTAGACATTTTGTTGCTAGATTGCTGCGAAAGACGTGAGGCACGCAGGTTCTGTATATAAATCTGCGATTCTTTGACTTCAAACGGCCGTGCTGCCTTTGCAGTATGCTTCTCCACAAGAGCCTAGAATTGCCTATCATGTGGTCAATCTCAAAGACCCGTGCATACAGGCAAATGGGTAGTATGTCAGCCATGACTCCCGCTGTACCACGGTTCGTCGCCAACTTGTCAGCCATTCAGATAACTCACCCCGAGAAAGCTTATGACAACTGACAACTGTGATTTTCCGCGGACTATGTTTAATTCCCTTTGTGAAGCTTTCTGACGGAAATGTATCAGCACACACTTCGTATTCCAGATAAGGATCAAGGGTTGCTCAAGTCAGCCGATAGGCCCATCTAGCTGCAGCCCGAGTACGACCTACGCCTTAGGCCTTTGGGAGACCCGAGTGACGTCAACATATACACTTCAACTTATTCTTGGTTTGAATAACCTGTTCTTCCGAATGAAGTCCTGACATGTAAACGTGGATCAGATTTGGTCTCTATTAAATACTTTCTTGCTTAGAGCTTGGGATTCCCTGAATAGAAAATCCGTGGCTCTCAAGAATACCCTAGTCACCCTCAGACAGTGCTATGGAGATTTTCCACACAACCAAGCCAAACGAGCGTCTTATAATTGAGACTTACTCAGGCGCAAGGGTACAAAGAACAGCATTCGCCATTCCTCTCTTCCGACATGTACGTGCGTCCTATGCTGACCGGTGTCCCGAAACGAACAAATGTAAAGTGTACAGTTGACAATATTAAAGCATTTAAAGATTTGCATTGCCCCCCTCGCTCTGCAACTCAGTATTCCAGTTATCACAAAGGACCGCGTCCAGTTCGATCTAAAGGGAATATTCCTTGTCGGCTTTCGTGACTCCGCCGATGACCCGAGTGTCGCAGGAGCCCTACGGTTTCTTTGCGTGCCTAGTCTTCAAAGAAACAAGGCAATGAATATTCTGGAATATCCATGTAACCGTGAACGTATAACCGGATTAGTGAAGGGTGAACTCTGCGCATACATCGCTACCAACGATATCGGCGATATCGTTGCATCCGTGAGAAATGGATCTTTTCAAGCAGACATACGGCAAAATCTCCACGCTGCGAACAGCCCTTTCTCCAAGGAATACCTCAGTCTCGAGGCTGAGATCACGGATCAGCAAGATATCCTCAGTGCGTAAAAGGGATGGATAGAGGTGGATCGGATAGATATCTACTCGACCTGACGAAATCTGAGGATCATTTACTTAACGCACTCACAATGTAAGGGTCGTCAGGAGCCAATCGACATCAGCTTAAGCGCTATCGAAAACTACGTGCACGAAACCCACCGCAAAGCTACGGCTATTTTTGCAAAAATAACTAATTAATGATAGGCACTAGTTTAGCTGTATATGAGAAAAAGTGATTGCATGAATCGGTTGTGGCACTTTAATGCGTCCCCGGGCAATTTCTACTGTACAACCTTCATTCGAACCTTCATAGCGTGCTTAAATTTGCAATCAAAAACCTGTTTTTCTATAGAGGTTAAATGGATGTCGGTTCCATCAAACTTCAAAGTGAGGCCCTTTTGCTGAGTGGCGGATATAACAACATCCGATTCAAGTATTCGATGTGGGTACTTTCGTATAAGTAGCTCCTTGAGCTTCGTTTGCAAAAAGAGCCTCCAGAGAAATCTAGGGGCTAGAATCAGATCATGTTCTGTATGTTTCGCTACCGTCCTGTTATTGCGAGTGACCCTCCACTGAATCAAGTAGTGGATACAAGCCGGTGGATCCACGTCATATGTTCGACCTTCCTCCCAATCACCGAACTGGTGTAACGGAACACTATTCTTTTGGGAAGCGGTTTGCTGTAGGGAGGCGCAATCGATAGGAGAACTGGTATCGAAGTTGGTGCAGCTTATATCGGAGGGGAAGGTGGGTGACCAATAGAAGTTGCCAGGTATTGGTGCATATTGTGATTTATCGCCCCACGGGTCAAGCGCCATGCTTTGTTGAGCGCTATGATCATTATGGCTAACGAGAGAACTGGGTGTCATTTTCTTGGTCCTACTATAACGAAAGACTAAGGGTACGGTTTTGATGGGTATCCGAGGTCTGTCGACCCCAACTTGACTGAACTCCCATTGGATTATTTATATGGGAGGAAAATGTCCGGGATGCTTTCACTGGTGACATTGAGCAGCCTTTGACTCGAAATTCCCTCCAACGGGAAAAGAATCGCCTGGTATAAACTCAAGTATCCTCGGCTTCCAAGTGCTGACTACAATTCCGTGATGGCGTAAAACCAATTCTCATTCGACCTGTTTCCTTGGTTGTAGCGTCGAAGGGCAGACTGGACAAGGAGACTCGTCGATATCGGCTTGCAGGTCGTCTCGAGAAGATCTAGGTTGGAAGCGATTTGGCTGGCTTTAATGGTAGCAACGAGTTCGAGGCCTTGAAATCCGGGTAAAGATTAGCGATGATGTGGGGATTCAGGAGGGTGGAACGCTTACCCTACATCGACCACAAAATCGTAGATGGTAATCCGCTGTGCAACATTTAAATTTTCTGCTCTGCTGAAGCCTTCAACGGGGCTGGCGCACTCACTGTCGCAATGGCAAGAACTGCTATCCCCACCACAGAAGTTGAAAGCACCAGCAGCACAAGATGCACAGCGATAGGAACGCGCATCCGATCGCGGTGGTGCCAATGTAGTTCATGGGAAGATGAGGACAGGACGCGGTGGACGCATTGGTACCAAATCCGCGGGGCCTGCTTCAGCCCATACAGTGAACGGCGCAGCCGACACACGAACCCTGGTTCATCGAAGCCCTCGGGCAACTCCATATAGATAGACGAGTCAACGTCACCATGAAGAAATGCAGTGACCGCAGTCGAATTGGTGTTTTCCATCCGCGCAACACGGCGCTGGCGACAATGCAGCGGACGGAGTCCATCCTGGACACAGCAGCAAACGTTTCGTGATAGTCGATGCCATGTTTTTGCCGGTAGGCTTTGATGACCAATCGCGCTTTGCGCGTTCCGTTGCTTTTAGTTTTGAAGACCCATTTGCAGCCAATCACATGATCTGCGGCTGGGATGTCCTCTCGCCGAACCTTTTCCCATGTTTCGTTTTCGAGAAGCGACGCATATTCTTTCTGGATGGCGACCCACCAGTCCAGCTGGTCTGGACCCGACACAACTTCGCGAAAGGTCGCCGGGTCGACTTATCAGCCGCGCTTCTTGCAGTAGTTGCATTTCTTGGTGTTCTTCTGCACCGTATTGATGGAAGGGTTGCTTGTTCCGCTGGGGACTCGCTGCGGGAACGTCGCAGCGTCCTTTCGCTGCACCGTCTGCTCAGCATTCGCTAGACGGTTGCCAATAGTCGCTGGGTTGACGGGATCCTTATCATTTTGGATCGCATCCACGATCAGGATGTATTCTGGTCCGATCTGCGTGAGCAGAATTGCAATATGGGCTTTGTCGCCGATCGATCCAGGGGCGATCGTATTCAATCGGTGCACTAGCATCCGTACACGATCGACAAATTCGCGGGCACTGCCGCAGCGCTCGCCGGTGGTTTCACGAAGCTGAGCGAACAGCTCGCAGAACGTCGCAAGTTCCATCCGCCGGTACCGCTCTTCGAGCTCATTCCAGAGGTCGCGGGATGTCTCCAGCCCCGCGACATGGATACTGATCTGGGGGGATAGGTACCGGAAGATGGTGTGGTAGGCTTCGGCTTCGCGGCGCGACCATTCACGGTGGCGCTCGAATGCCTGGACCTCCACTTCGAGGCGCGCTTCGATGGCGCGTTGCCTCACCGCCCCAACCAGGTGCGGTTCCACCAGAGGGTGGATGTCCGCCGTGATGGGTTTGGCGTATTTGAACGAGCAGTCAGGACGCTCAAGGTCGCCCGACACGACATCCCAGACCTGCCTTGCCTTGAGGTAGGAGGTAATGAGACGTTTCCATGTTGCGAAGTTGTCGCTTCCTGTCAAAGGCTCAATGGCTGTAACGGCTCGGTCGGGCGAGTCGTGGACCAGAGCCGACATGATGGTTGATGTAAAGCGGGGTAGATATAATCACGAAAGATTAAGATGATTCTCAGATGAGTAGAGACGGCACCCGAGAGTTGCTCCCGGGCTCATAACCTGTTGTAACGGCTCGGAGGTATCAATTGTCTTATCATTCTAGTGGGAAACATGAGGCTATATATACAGCGAGAAGATCAAGTTGATTGGAAATCAACTTGGTTCTTCGTATACATACTTCGGGATTAATTCCGATGGTTCGGCTTGATTCCTGATCTGCACCAGCCTCATATCACAACAATATTGGTCAACTGAATGAAGAATCTGAGGGCATCAGGAATATGGTGGAATGGAAAGGAATTATTTAAATTGCCACAAACTTTGAATTTGATGTTCTTCTATGTTCTCAGCTCAAAATAAATGTTAAATCGTTAAGAGATAATGTGGTTTCAAACGTAGAATATGGCTTATTTCCTATAGGTTATATAGGGAGGAGTTTTATCGGGGTTGCCTCAAGCTGCCACGCTGCCTCACGTGACATCTACACCGACATTACGGAGGGCTCCTTCTTCCTACAACTGCCTCGCAAGAGTCAGTTGCTTGCCTCTGGTAGTAGCTCGTCATCTCTCACGCAGTCAAGTCTCAATTTTGTCCCTCCAACCCCCCTCTGTATATAGAAACCAGCATTGCAATATACAGACACATTGCCTCCCTACAAGGGAGCGCGGACGGGCCTTCTCTGACGCTACAGTCTAATGCGTTTACGCATAAGACCGCAGCGACAGGTGACCCGTTACGGCCAAACTGTACACTTTCTTGTTCCCATCTTGACTGCGAGAGGTCATCAATAAATCCGCATCTCAAATGCCCGCCTTCAATTCATCTCATCAATGGAAGCCTAAGTTTGTAATAACGCGCAATGATTAGTGTGGCTTGTAGATCAGTTGAAACAAGTACTGATGATCACACCAATCAAAACCAAGAAGTTCACAAAAATGTTGACGTCGCACATAATACAAAAACTACGAATGCACAAGCAAAGTTTATAGAATGGCTTCTCGCGGTAGACCATCAAGCTAATATTCAATCTTCATCCCTGCACATGCTCTCCCAGAGCGGCCTCTTTTCCCCCTCCATTTGCGAGAATCCATTTCAAAGTGCCGTGTCAAGCTAATATACTAACACGGTACAGGCTTATGAAACTCATCTTTTTCCAGAGCATAGGGCATCACGTGGTAAAACCTAGACTCGAGTCTGGAATTAACAGGTCAGCAGCTGGAGAAATGACGTGTGAGATCCGTCGGGACTTTCACCAAGTCTCGAGGCATCAATTTTTGAATTTGTATTATGAATTTATCCTTTATACAGCCACAAGGCTGGATCAATATGGCGTAGCTAAAGTCTAGCATATGCACCATGTAACTATGCAAAAAGGCCGCATCTTCCCGGCCTAAATTTGATGCCCTTCCGGCAGATCAGGCGGCTAGTCGCCACATCGACATTAGATTGGCTATATAAAAGGCATTCTCCTGTACGTTTGGGCTGCTTTGAATTATATATATCCATATCATTGAATGCTTTCAAGTGCGCTGTGTTTTAGAGTCATCAGCACTTCGCAGTGATATCAAGGTCTTTCTTGTCAAACCTCATTTTTTCCGCAAATCGACCCATCATGATGAACCAAGATAGCTTTACCTCGAAAGACGCAGAAAGCGTAACAGGTTAGCACAGCGCAAACATCGTACATCGTCCGGTCCGCCGACATTAAACACACAACTAACAAAATTAGGTGAAAATACAAAATCAGATTCCAACAGATCACGACCACTAGAATGCTATAGCATATCGAGTGCGAAGCCACACTCGGAGAAATATTACCCAGCGATATCGACCAACCCACACAGTTGCATGTCTCCTGTGGGCCATTGCCAAGAAGATCTGACTTCGTCAGTCCCGTTCGGACCGAGTCCTACATCCAACGGAGCCGACGGCCTGTCCACGGAAACGTGCGTCTTCAACGAGCCGTTTCTAGCACAAATTCCCGAATATAGGGACCTCAACTTGGTACCGACTAGTTTGCCACTTGAGGATCGACTGCAATTTGGCCCCTGTACATGCAGGAGGGATTCAGATCCTTCCGCCAGCCCGAGCAAACGTAAGAGACTT